TTTTTTTTTTTTTTTTTAAATTATCTCTTATCCAGCAACCTATTACGTGACTAGCAGCTCCGTCGTATGTGGTACATACATGAAAACAACTCCCTGTCGAAAGGTACAGTAGAGCACTGTTCGTGTGTCTTGACCATTGGACCTTCAATAAATACACGGAGGCTTACATTAGGTTTTGTTCCACCGACGCTGATTTATCTAGAGAGAGAGAGAGCCTGTGTGCTTCGACGCCGGTCGGTGGGTAGCTGTGTGAGTCAGTCTGGCCGGGATCTGACGCCGATATCGCCGGAAAACATGTCTTCCGGCAGGTACATGGCGTACTCACCCTCGCCCTCCGCTCCTCACTCTCCTCACCTCGGCGGCCTTCTCTCCGCCTCCACCGCCATCGTTGAGCAAGAAAAGTATGCTCTCGCCTACAGATATTGCTCAATTCACCGTGTTTTTTTGGTAGTTGATTGGTGTGGTGACGAGACCTTGGAAATATATGGGTCAATTTGTTATGAGTCTTTAAGTTTTGTTATTTTTGATTGCTGTGGCTTCTAATNAGTGTTTTTTTGGTAGTTGATTGGTGTGGTGACGAGACCTTGGAAATATATAGGTCAATTTGTTATGAGTCTTTAAGTTTTGTTATTTTTGATTGCTGTGGCTTCTAATTCTCTAGCTTATCTTAGCGATTGTTTCTTTATCTAAACTGAGTTTGGGTTCGTGCACTTCTGTGTTGAAATTGATCTGATTTTATGTTTCAATCTGACTTTTTTTAGCTAGTTTACTTCTGATCAGTTTATTTTTTTTTCTCAGGAGTGCGAATAGCAGAATGATAGGAGTTTTAAGTTTTTTGGTGATCATATGTTTAAGTTTTTTGGGTCAAAAGTTGTTCTTTATCTACGTTTAAGTATTGCATGCCGCTATAATTGGGGGATATGTGTTTATTATTGTTCTATTGTTTGCTATTCATTCTTTCATTGGTATCATATAGGAGAGCTATTGGCTGAGAATTTAGGATACTGGATCAGCTACATTGTATGGTAGTGTAATCAAATGCATTTCGTATGGAAATATAATTACTTTTCATTTACTTCTGATGGCATTTTGGCTTTGATATGAATGGTATGTTGTCCATTAGGTGGATTTTGAAGATAAATGTTATATGCAAAACAGTTCTTATAATAAATGCCAAAATGGTAACTTTGCTCTGATGATGTAAGATTAGTCCTAGTATTTGGAAGTGACACTGACTGCTTCAAAATCATGCAATCAGTGACGGTAGCATTAGATTTGTACCATCAATATAGTGAAGCCGTTCGTCATCTGCATGAGATGTAAACACATGCCTTGTAGTCATGATGTCATCATCTCAAATTTGCAGTCTATAAGGGAAAAACAGCTTTTTGTAATGACTTTCATAAAGTAATCATTGGTGACTCAAATGGGCTGTTCAAATTTAATTTTTTGTAGCTATAATTAGATTATTTATGGTGGTTGTTGCAGCTACTGATGTTAGTGGTCATATGGAACTGTTACATCACCAGTTTTCTGAGTGTATTGATTCCATAGGTGCTTGCTTGTGGACTTCACAGACTCTAATAGGTTTAATTGCTTAATGACAGGTATCTCTCTGAGTTATTGGCAGAGCGTCACAAACTCAGTCCATTTGTGCCTGTGCTTTCTCATATCTATCGGTTGCTGAATCAGGGTGAGTTCAGAAACCTTTACGTTATTTCATGTGTCACGAATAAATGTGGTAAAGGCCATAGTAATTTTCGTATAAAATGAACATCAAATGAAAAGAAAAGAGAAGTAGGTGATTTTAATTGCCACCTTAAAGAGGAGAAAACTAGAAAATAGATGAGGTTAGATACATACTCCCGAGGATCAGAGGAGGATGAAGAATCTTTCCTTCCTTATTCCATAAATGATCGAGTCATAATGGCATAGAACTTAAAAAAGGAGAATAAAAAAAATTTAGCCTCTTGGCTTGTTCTTTTAGCCATCCCCTTTAATTTCGTAGCTGTAGGTCAACATATTTAGATCCGCATATTTTCCTCATTTGATGCTTCAGATTTATTGACTTACCGTGACTGGTGGTTGGTTATTGTGAGTTCAAAAAGATGTGTAAATTGTAAATGATGACCCCCACCTTTTATGTGCAACTTGTTAAAACAGAGGTAGAACATTGATATTATTGGGAAAAGAGGACCTAGTCATGTACTTTAGCTTTAGCATCTGATCATGGGAGTTGTACAATTAACTTATGTAATGCAACACTCTGTTTCCCTCTCTTTTGTCTACCCACCTCTTGTTTGTCTTGTTATTCTTTCAACTTCCATTTTGTGAGCAACTACAAGTCCTTCTGGACTTCAGACTGGCTAACTGTCAAATCTCATCTCATTGAGCGCTATCGTTATTCAGCTTCATTTATACCACTGTATCTACAAGATAAAGAAGATTTCTAGCTANGTGAGCAATTACAAGTCCTTCTGGACTTCAGACTGGCTAACTGTCAAATCTCATCTCATTGACCACTATCGTTATTCAGCTTCATTTATACCACTGTATCTACAAGATAAAGAAGATTTCTANTTGAGCAACTACAAGTCCTTCTGGACTTCAGACTGGCTAACTGTCAAATCTCATCTCATTGAGCGCTATCGTTATTCAGCTTCATTTATACCACTGTATCTACAAGATAAAGAAGATTTCTAGCTAGTTTGGTTTGATGTGTTACGTTCTGAAACTGACGTAATTTGGCTTCAAGGTGAATGTTACATTGTGGAGAATGCCACTGAGATTTTTAGGGAGTAAGATAGTAGGGTGGTATCTTCACCTTGCGCAGATATGGCTTAGTTAGAAAGGTTAGGGTTTTAGTGTAGTATCCAGGGGAATGTTAAATTGTGGAGAATGCCACTGAGATTTTTAAGGAGTAAGATAGTAGAGTGGTATTGTCACCTTGTGCATATATGGTTTAGTTAGAAAGGTTAGGGTTTTAGTGTAGTGTCCAGCCTTTAAGTTCTCCTCCACTTTCCTTTCTTATTGTCAGACCATGACCATCGCTAACTTACCTTCTTGTTTTTATACTGGGATTTGCATGGACTCACTATATATTTCCTGCATTTAATAGGCTGAAATTGAGTGGCTTATGTAGGAAGCGCGAAAATGAACAATGCTATGCATTGGCTATAAAATTACTCAATAAATTAGAATAAGGATGGATTGGGAGCTGGCCATGTGGAATGATTCATCAATATCTAAAGGTTATGGAATGACTTAGCAAATAAATATAACAAATGTAACTTTAGGGAACAAGAAGAAGGAAAGAGTATGACTGAAAGCCCATGAATAGGGGATAGCCAAAAGTGATCCGTGCCAGAATTTTTTGTTGAAGTGGAGATTTATTAATTGAAAATGCATCCGGGGGTGGAATTTTGTTAGATGGCTTCATGGCTAGTTCTGCTATTTAGTGAAAAGGTTGGGAAGTCAAACATGTTTAAAGAGTGATTGTGGTCAACTGAGGATGCTAAGTTGAGCAGATGACAGTATAAGGAGGAGATGTTTTTTTCGATAGGAATATAAGGGGGGATATTGAGAAGCACGTGGTCGCTAATTGAAAATTACTTATCCATGTCATGGATTGGTGGACAAAAGGGAGACAAGAAAGAATATGGATACAGCTGATGAGAAAATACAAAAGTCAACTTTCTGGGGTTTGTTCTCTCTTGAAGTTAGAGATGAGTGTGTTGGTTGGATTTAGGGCTGTTTTTCATGCAGGTATTTGGGGCTTGGATTCTCTTCAAGTTGAGGTGATTACCAAAAGCATATATCTATCCTCATCTTTTTTGGGTGATGTAGTGTGCTCCAAGGCTTCAAGAAAAATGTGTATTCCAAATTTTTTGAGACTATTGGCTACCTGATAGCCCCAACTTATGTGTCTGTCAAAGTTACTTCTTGTAAAATGGGTAATATGAATGTACTTCATGGAAGAAATAAACCGAAACTCTCTGTTCTTTATGTATTGTCTAAGAGGGCCAGCAGCCTATTATACATTTCTGGCTGAGGATGAAGTTTGTGGGCATTTTGGTTCACCAGGGGCTAAATGCCGACGGGATCTAAAAATATTTATAAAGCTGTCAACATTAGGGGTCCTTTGTATGTTTCCTTTTGGATTGATTTCTTACATATTTTAATGCGTCATAATAGTTTCTTCTTAAAATGCATCCTGGAGTTCTAGCTGGCAGTTCATATTTTCCACTTATGAGCTAATATGTTTCAATTAGGCGATTGCTGTTAAGCAATTTGTTGTAAAGTGAGATCCAAAATAGTAGTCCAGAATATGAAAAGAAGGGAGGAATACTCAAGGATCTGTAGAAAACAGAAAGGAAGGATATTGGTTAGAGTCTTGAGGATTTTGATGATTCTGTTTGAGCCAGAAATTGGCGCTTTCTTTCTTGATTTTTGGAAGCTAAAGAATGATCACGTATAACCTTTTCCTGTTGGTTAGCAAATTCATATGCCAACTTCCTAGAAGTGCCTAAACTAGAGAGGTATATTGGCTTGGTGTTTCTTCTTTTCCTCTGATGTTTTTCCTTTGGTTTTCTCTCCTGTAGAAAATTCCTTTTGTTCCCCACTATTTTTATTTCCGAATTGTTTTCTTGTTATTAATGGGTAACAATTTACCTAGATGTTTGAAATTAAGTTAAAGTTGTTATTATTGTTTAATATAGTGGGAATGTAATTGAATTGAGTTAAAGAGAGGCGAGGGAGTGACCCAGTGGTAAGGGTTCATTTACTGTCCACAGGTGGTTGTTGTTTCAAACCTCATCCCCTTTCCCCTGACCCTGCCGAAGGGGACAAAAAAAGAGAACTGAGTTAAAGGCTATGATTTTTAAAACTATAACTTCAGTGATTTCTTTTATTGATGTGCTTTAGGAGGATTGAACTCAACTAAATCATCTTTCTCTTTCCTTCCAGGACATATTCTCCTAAGATATAGTTACGTTGAGGAAGCATTGATTTTTAACTTACCGAGTAAACTGTCCGTGTTGTCCATCCATATTGTGGTGACTGCTAACTAGTTTCTTAACCAATGCTAACTGGTACATCTTATTCTTGAAAATTGACCTTTTTGGAGCAGAAATATTGCGTGTAACCACATTGTTGGGGAATGCATCAGTTTTAGATCAAAGTGGGCTTGAACATGCTAGCCCCCTGGCTTCAGGAGGACTATTTTCAAATGGAGGAGCTAATGTGAACAGATGGGCTGCACAGTTTCATTCAGAAGTACGGATACTAATCATTAACATGACTTCTATAATCTAATTTTTACTGTTTTCAGAAGCATTCCTGACATAATATTTTTTCTATTCTTGCTAACTTGATTGTTTTTGAATGCTTTTTTTTGAAGTTTCACTTCTGTTATGACTGATAGGTTGAAGCTAACAACTTCAAGAATGATAAGTAGATTGGTTGAGAATCCCTTGTCTGAATTTACTTACTTATGGCTATAGTTCCCAGTATTATTGTCAGTGTAAAACTACGTTCATCACATGATGCATAATATTATAAATTCTTCCTGGATAGGAAATCAGTACTTCTTTGAGTGGAAGGAGTAAATGTGAGGTATTGAACTGGGACTTCTCCAACATCTGGGCGAAGACTGGAGGAGGCTTGTTTTTCTTATATATTCATGCTGACTATTTATTGTTTTTTGCCTTACTGTAGGAGACTAAATGTGAAAACTCAATTTTATGGGTTTTTGTGTTCTAAGTTCTAACATACTTCAACTTATTATTCTGTTTAAACAGCTTTTGAGGATGCTCTCATTTCTTGCAAAAGAACCTCATGACACCTGCTGGTTGTTGAAATGCCTCGAGCATTCTAGTTTCAATACTCTGATTTCAGATCTCTTAGGATTCAAGTAAATTCAAGATCATCTCTGATTATCCTTGATTATCAAAGTGTGTGTGATGTTAGATGTTATGCCTATTGAGGTGCACCTATTTACTTTCACTGGTTTCTTTTGTATTTGTATGTTAACTTTTTCAGTTGTTCATGTTTTCTTTTCCTTGAAATTTTATTGTGGGAGATTAGTAATTTAGGATCTAAGTGCGAGATATAGGTCACAAACAGTATGCCAGTTTTCTTATGTAGCAGAAATTAATTAAAAAAAAGGGGAAAGGAATGAAAGGCAAAGTATGGCATTGCCTTCATCACTTTTGTAATTTTTAACAATGTTTGAACTCTGAATTTTATGTTCAGATCTCAGGTTTGAGGCAGCCCTCATCTGCGCAAAACTGGCTTGGTTCTCAAGGTAGCTCCTCTGGTCTTATAGTGAAAAGAACGATCAGGGTTGATATTCCAGTGGACCAATTTCCTAATGTATGAATTGTTTTCATGTTCTGGTGTGCCTTTTTGTGTTGTAGTTTTGCTGCATTTAATTTTGCAATTCATTTTGCCAACTTCTTGTTGCAGTTTAATTTCGTTGGGCGCCTCCTTGGTCCTAGAGGGAATTCTCTCAAGCGCGTGGAAGCTAGTACCGAGTGCCGTGTTCTGATCAGAGGACATGGTAGTATCAAGGATCCTGCCAAGGTACTGATGAAATCATCTTTCATCTGTTGTTTATTGTATACGATGGCATTTTTTCTGACACAATAATTCATGGAGATGAGGTAGGGGAGCAGATTGGGAAAGTTCATATTTTACATTCATCCTGTGTAGCATCTTATTTCATTTTTCATTTCTTCACATTTTATGCCCTGTTCTTCTTTTTTCCGGGAATGTTGGTTGTTTTTTATTTTCTTGGTTTTTCTATCTTCTTTTAGATGGGGGGATTGAGTTTGGACTTATCATGGGATGTGAATTGCTTGACTGGCAGCATTAGTAATGAATTACCAATTAAAAAAGTTAAAGCTTAGTTTTTCCATCACTTCCTCACTTCTTCTCATCACTAGCAAAAGGAGTGATTGTTATTGATATGCTGAGACAACATAGAAATTCCTCAAATGATACTATCTAGCAGTGATTGTGCTTGTAAAAATCTTTTGAAATGGCAGCCAGATGTTGAAAGAGAAATTAATGTAGACACCCATACCAGAAGAAACATTGTACATATACCTAACTGGGAGGAAAAGGGGGGTTTGGTTGCGGCTTCCTTCGTTAAGGATATGCGTGATTGTTTTGTTTTTCAAAAATTTTCCTCCCAAATTTTTTCTCTGAACCAATTTTCTGAAAAGCATTATCATCATGTTTGTTATTTATAATTTGAAGGAAGAGATGATGAGAGGAAAACCAGGGTATGAGCACCTGAATGAACCCCTTCATGTACTTGTTGAGGCAGAATTGCCGGTTGAGATAGTGGATGCTCGTCTAATGCAAGCTCGTGAGATACTCGAGGATTTGCTCAAGCCCATGGTATAGTTTTTTCCTTCCTTGCCTAGGAATGGAGCTGTTGATTTGCCAACTGTTATTACTTGGTTTGGTCGGAAATACTCATATTCTTATTGTCTGTAATTTTCCCTTTTGTCAATTTGCAGGATGAATTTCAGGATTTTTATAAGAAACAGCAGCTACGGGAGCTTGCAATGCTCAATGGTACATTCCGTGAGGAAGGTTCACAAATGTCTGGTTCTGTGTCCCCCTTCCACAATAACCTTGGTATGAAGAGGGCCAAGACTAGGGTGTGATGATTGATGAATCCCCATGATTAGTGGGCTTTTGGAGCTTATTTGGTGGGTCTATTATGCCATTAGACAGCAGTTCTCACGGGACAGGTGTTGCTATGCCAACCAATGCCTCCAACTGCTATCGGAGCACTGGCATGATTATGTGCCAGTTCTAACATATTTTATATGATACGAGGTGTGTTTATTACTACGGGAAGGTTTAGTTGCAGTCCCGTAGGAAAGACAATTCGAGGCTTGGGGTTTGATGAAGTTTGTTTCTATTGCCACATAGATTGGCTCTTGTATTACTGGATTCATTGGAAGCTTGTGAGTTGTGATGGGAGTTTTGCTACAGTGGGGATTTCTGTGGGGATGTAAGGTATGATATGTATATGTGAGTGAGGCGAATAGAGGTCTACCCTGTTGCTTTCTTGTCTTGTCATCTGGTTGGAGTTTTTGTACTTCGAAGTGTAGTAAAGCTACTTTAGACCTGTAATGAAGGTATTCGTTTTTCTGCTTGATCCTTTAATAACATTGCCTTTTGAATGCAATTGGAAAATTATTCTGTTGCGACTTGGACAGGGCATGGAATCAGTAGACTCACTCTCACTGTATTTGCTGATGTATGCTTCATACATCTCGAACTGGATTGACGTCTTCAAACCACTGTAAGACACTTAGTTGTATTTTGAGGACAGAATGTTGTTAGATTCTTCTTACTACTTACTTTCCTCATGTTTATGTTCCCAGTAAGATGCCAAGTTAATAGTCCTCTCAGTGTTGCATTGCAACAGCTTGGGCATTTAATCATTGTAACTTGATGCTTGAAAAGATTGCCTTTAATCCAACTCTCATTGTAAATGATGTATCCCTTGGCCTTGAGCATCTTTATTGGCTGGGAATCAATGAAGGACCACCATTTTCTGAAAAATAAGTGTTCCATGGGGACAAAAACTGCTTTGCATTCTTAAATGCAAAGATTTGTGCTGCGACCACCACCTGTCATGGTGCTTCTTCAATCTCAATCTAAGCTTTATGAGTGAGATTCTTTCTGATATATATTTTTTAATTTCTTTTCTTGGCTAATATTGGAATTCAAGTAAGACACGTATGGGTGTGGATTCTCTCTCACCAATACAAGGGGTGTGATTTAGTAACGAGGAAAGTAGAGGATACAATATTGGAGGGATTTGGATTCTACACTTTTTTACGCATGAAATTGTAATTAGGGGTGTCAGCTCGGATCTCCGTTAATATGAACTCGGTTAATATGAACTCGACATGAACAATTATAAAATTAACACGATTATTAAATACGCATAATAAATAATTTAGACTAATATTTAATATTCAGAGCACATTAAATAGATTTTTCTTTTTTATGAGTTTTGACAAAAATAACACGATATGTGAGTCACACGAATACGACACGATTGACACCCCTAATTACGACACTAACCAGTACTTGTCGGCGCAATATTTTTTCCCTATTTTTGCTAATCATTTTGTTGCTTGTCCTATATTAAAATTNGTTTAATATTCAGAGCACACTAAATAGATTTTCTTTTTTATGAGTTTTGACAAAATAACACGATATGTGAGTCACACGAATACGACACGATTGACACCCCTAATTACGACACTAACCAGTACTTGTCGTTGCAATATTTTTTCCCTATTTTTGCTAATCATTTTGTTGCTTGTCCTATATTAAAATTATTAAGCATGTAATTAATATTAATCTTGGTTGATTCTAATGATATTTATCATTAACCTATTAAAAAAGTAAAAAATGATGCATTAGATCAACAAATAAGTTAGATAATATGTGTGAATGTCATGTACAACTATTACCTATATTTCTAGTAACAATCGTTAAAAAATAAGAGAGATCACTTTGCTTTAGGAAATGAATAAAATCCTATATTGAATGTCCTAAACTTCAATACATCTTAGCCTACTTGATTGCATTTCAATGACTGTTCATTCTTTTTAATTTNGTGTGTGAATGTCATCATGTACAACTATTACCTATATTTCTAGTAACAATCGTTAAAAAATAAGAGAGATCGCTTTGCTTTAGGAAAATGAATAAAATCCTATATTGAATGTCCTAAACTTCAATACATCTTAGCCTACTTGATTGCATTTCAATGACTGTTCATTCTTTTTAATTTCAATACAGAAAATAGTCACTAAGATGTCCTGATCGCAGTCCATCCCCACTCATTGTTCGACCTTCGTAATTCTCCACCCTCAATTTGTTTAGTTGCGTGATAGTTGTTTTAATCGGTTGTTTCATATTTTACTATATGTTTTTTTTTACGAGGCTTGTCTTTTTGGTTTGAACAGAAAAACAAGAGTTATGTTAGGTAATTGAAAATCAACATAATATTTGGTTAGATCCATTTTACATATGAATCTTAAAAGCACACACATGGGGATGTATGATTCATTTATTATTTTTTTTTAATTTTAATTAAGCGGAAGTATAAATACATGGGTGAATTGAACTCTATACCTTAAGANTGTGATAGTTGTTTTAATCGGTTGTTTCATATTTTACTATATGTTTTTCTTTTACGAGACTCGTCTTTTTGGTTTGAACAAAAAAACAAGAGTTACGTTAGGTAATTGAAAATCAACATAAAATTTGGTTAGATCCAATTTACATATGAATCTTAAAAGCACACACATGGGGATGTATGATTCATTTATTATTTTTTTTAAATTTTAATTAAGCGGAAGTATAAATACATGGGTGAATTGAACTCTATACCTTAAGAGATTTTAAAATATTTAATTTGTATTTTTTATTATTATTTTTCTCACATTAAACCTCAATGTTATAAAATGATTGTAATGTTATCCTCACACTAACTTATGTTATCATTGTCATCAAATCTCACAATAGTTAGTACGAGGCTCGCATAACAAATTTGACAAAAATTATAACAGAAGTTAAAGTGAAAATTCATATACTATAACTATTTTATGACATTGAGAGTAAGAATGCCAAAATATGATACGACTTGCGAACACAACAAAAAAATAGAGAGTTTGGATCTTACTTAAATCACTTACTTCATAAATAAGTGGACTTGATACGATATGATTAATAAACGAATTACGTATGAGTGAAATTAATCAAAAAAAATACATGGTACGACTCGTTTATATACTGGTTATATATACTTCATTCACGACGCAAATTTCGATATTACACGACTTGTTAGACACAAATTAATAAACGAATTGAGTATGAGTGAATTATTTTTTGACATGAACTTGCTAATACCCAATATGACACCCAACANAATGCCAAAATATGATACGACTTGCGAACACAACAAAAAAATAGAGAGTTTGGATCTTACTTAAATCACTTGCTTCATAAATAAGTGGACTTGATACGATATGATTAATAAACGAATTACGTATGAGTGAAATTAATCAAAAAAAATACATGATACGACTCGTTTATATACTGGTTATATATAATTCATTCACGACGCAAATTTCGATATTACACGACTTGTTAGACACAAATTAATAAACGAATTGGGTATGAGTGAATTATTTTTTGACATGAACTTGCTAATACCCAATATGACACCCAACATGATTAACAGGCTTAATTGAGAGTGTAATGTAAAAATTTTAAATATTAAAAGTATAAATTGAGAATTTTAAAATCTTTCAAGGTTCAAAGTGTAATTCGCCCCTAAATACAATTTAAAAATGAATCTTCATGTCATTAGAGGCCAATTAATAAGAAGCGTAATTGAAAAAATAAGGGCACGTGCATGTCATGAACTCACAATCGAATCGATCGCCATAAGGACACGGGCGGTGCGCTCAAAGTCTTATATAATGTGTCCAATGGTATTGTATGGTCTTATACAAGTTCTGTACCTCGGACTCGGGAAGAAGAAGCAAACCCTAGCGACTCGATTCACTCGGTAAGAGTTTCTTTCTCCTCCTTTATGCATGCTTATGNATCGGACTCGGGATAGGTTCGTAAACTGAAGAAGAAGCAAACCCTAGCGACTCGATTCACTCGGTAAGAGTTTCTTTCTCCTCCTTTATGCATGCTTATGATAGGGAAACTCTATATCTGTTGATTGATCGGTCTAAAATCTCTGTTTGCTATGAGATTCGCCCGGACGTTTTATGAATGTTAAAGCTTTAAAATTTTTCATGTTTCTTATGTACAGATCGTTATGATGTACGTTTCTAGGTTTGATTCTGAATTTTGAATATGTTGTGACGAAGAATTTTGGCTTTTTTTTTTTTTTTTTTTTTTTGGGGTTTCGTCTTTACTTTTTTTTGGGTTTGTTTGGTTGTTGAGAGAGAACATTTTCAGGGTTTTTTTTTTGGACCCGCAGCATAACAATATAATCTTTGTCTGAACGAATAGAAAACAAGGATTTGTAATCCCTTGGGGAATGTCTGATATTTTTATGGTGGTTGTTTGTGCTTGAATATGTATCTTCTGCTTGTGTGTGGATTTTGAGGAGTGTGGTTATTAATTTGGTCTTGGAATCACGAAGATTTTCGGTCTATATCATTAAGAGTTTGTTAGTGTGCCTTACTATGGTATGCAGTTGGAAAAAGACTGGATAAGTTGACTTCATATGCACTTGCAATTTTTTTTTTTTTTTGCTTTGTTCATTTTATAGGGCGATCAATTTAGAAACCAATACATGATGAGAAGAATGTTTGTTTGTTCATATAAAAATGTTTCTGGCTTCCTGATTTCTGTTGGAATCTTGCAGATGTAATGTTTTATTGAATTATGGGAGGACAAATTGTAACACTGTTTATATTACCGGTTTATAGGAGTATAATTAGATAATTATTGGATACATTATGTGTTCTCTACTTGGGGGAATTGAAGAGGTATTGTAGATTCGTGGTTGGGCACTTGAGTTCTCAACATTTAGACTTTCTGATGAAAGATTTATTTTGCTTCTTTTCCTTTTTTTCTCAATTTTGATAATTGATGGTGCCCTTGTTGT